TTGCCTGGATTATTACAGTTAATGTTACAAACAATCCATCAGGCAAATTCTGGATTTAACACCATTTTTCAGTTAAACAGATTTTCAGGGCTAAAGTCCCTGTCTAAGATCACACAGCTAGTAAGTTACAGAGTCATGAATCATAGGCTACTTCACTGCATGGCTTGTAATCCTAAATTCTTCTTCTTCTTATCATCTTTAAAACACAGTTAGTCACCTTTACTCTTGTAGCTTCTATTTCCAAATTTCTAAAATATGTACTATATTGTCTACTTCCACAAGACATTTAGGAAATATATATTACATAAATGAGTGAATGAATAACGGAGGGCATAAACTTTTAGAGATCTAGGAAGCCATGAAGAATCTCTCATTTCAGAGATATTTTATAAGTGAATTACTCAGATATACTATATACAAGGCCTTTGCCTGAATCACCTATTATTTTAGAATTAGGGCTAAAACTCAACAGCTCTGCCAACTATATTCTTTTCTCAACTAACCTAAAGTATAACTTAATCATCTCACTCAACTAAATCCTACTTAAGGCTGGTACTGAATTTTGTAAGAATAAAAATTCTCTGAATTAGAATAAGGTAAAATTGTTACCATAATTTAAAATGTTCAGCGCTAATCTTGATGCTAACAGAAATGCAATTATGGTTTCAAAGTCTCTACAGAATATCAGCTTAAAAGATGAGATTTGGACAAAGTATTATAATAATATAACTAGTTTATCTCTCCAATTTTCAAGGAATAAAAAGGTTGTGTGTTGTTCTGGATTTTCTAACTGGTGAAGATCATAAAAAAAAACACAAAGAAAGCAAAATATTTCTTATATTATGATATAATGAAACAATGGGAAATCCCAATCCACATCTCTATACCAGGTTTTTTTCTATTATATTTGCTGTAGAAAATCAGTGCATGTACATTACATTCTCTTCTTTTCCCTTTCCCTCTACTCTCTTTTTACTGTTTCCAGGACCAGATTTCTTTATATTCAGGTTGAAAGTGAGATTAATAGGCCAAAGGACACATAAAACATGTAAGCAATTGATTTAGTACAATTATATATACAAATTGTGTTTGCAATCTTCTAGTCATTTTTTTTCCAGATCACTGAAGCTTGCTAGACTATTAGCTGCTCTCCAGAAATCTGTGAGTATTCTCACTTCTAGAAACTTCTCCTGTCATACAATGTACATAAACCAGTTTCACTGCTTACACTTCTTTCCATTGAGAATATTTGCCCTGTCTACTATGTTGACTGTGATACATCTGTGCCTTCTATTTTTGGCTTGCATCATCACCTAATCAAGCCACCTGCTATTTGAACTTGGATTTTTTACTCTTTCTATATATGAAAACTGTCATCTGGCCCATGCAGTTATGAACTATTTCTGATCCTTTTTCATCATCAGATTGGAAAGGGTCTTACTGATCTACTTTAGCAATAGTTACCATATCTAGTGCAGTAGCTGCAATCAGGATTTCTACTTATACCTGGGCATGTCTATAGGTAGTTTTCCTGAATCAATCTGCTTGTTGACAGGTCCAGATTGGCAGTTAAATTTTATATATGTTAGACCCTGGATCATCAAGCTCATTAACAGTACCACTAAGGTCCAGCATCTCTACTGGGATAAAATGCTATTTTGATTATACTATCTTTGTGAGTTTAGGTAGGGTAAGTTATGGAGATTTTCATTTGTCCTGCTCTATAATTATAGCCCTTGTGTCAAGAATTCATTGTGGGGATTAATTTTAAACCTACACTCAAGCTTTGATGAAATTATCACCAGGTGGTCATTGGAACAAGACTCACCGTGAATTGCACTTTAGTCAGTAGTCTTTTGTGGTTTAAATTTTAAATGTTCCCCAAACTTCATAAGCTATAGCTTTAGTTGCCAGCTGTTGGGTCATGGGAGATCTAACTTCATCAAGTGGATTAACAATCCACTGATAAAAATCAGAAATTGTTGACATTTTTATGAGGCAATGGGAAGAGGTGGGAATTAGTTGAAGGGAATGGATCATAGTCACCTGTGTGACATTAGTATTATATCTAATTCCCTTCCTCTTTGGCTCTTTTCTGTTTCCTGGCTGCCATGAGGTAAGCAGATTTCTTCTGCCTCGTTACAGGATCAGAAACCACTAAATCAAATGTCCATGAATTTAATCCTTTCAAATTTGGAAACATAATAAGTATTTCCTCTTTTATGTTGTCTTTTTCAGTTGTTTGTCAGGGCAAGGCAAAGCTGACTAACACAACTCCATTTGTTGCCTGGCCCATAGGTAAAACCTGGACTTGAATTAGTCCTGGAGCATGGGAACAGACATCTAAACTTTAATATAAAGAATGGGTAGAAAAGGTGCCTGTACAGAAATTGAGGAAGATGGTGAGAAGAGTCTCAGTAAACAGAAGAGCACGACTGATGGTCCTTGGGCAGAGTTTAGTGGAGCTTCTGAGGCAAGCCCTCATAATACCTTCATTTATAGCAGTGCCATTCTCTGCTGTCATTTTTATTCACAACACTCTATTTCTCTAAACAACCTGAAATATCTTCTTTTATTAAAATAGAAGTTCTATGAATTCAAATATATTTTTGGCATTTTCTCACCCCATTTCTAATACATTAACTTATGAATGAATGTAAAAAGACTTTGTAACCAAAGGACTCAGGACTAAAGTGAGAAAATACTCAAAACAGGAAGAGGCAAAAGGAAATGGCAGATGTTGCAGCATGTGTAGGCCAACATCAGCAATTTGGTATTAAACCTAAGAGCAATAAAACCACATTGAAGGAATTAGCAGAGAAATGTTATGTTCATTATTTTCTTCCTAAAACATTTATCCTCATTGTATGTACAGTGGCTTGGGAGGAATAAAAATGGCTATAGGAAGACCAGTTAGCAATGCCTTGGGGTACTGAAGACAGAAGAGTTACTTGGGCAAGGAGGAAGTATAGATGATAAGGAAAATTCATGATATGTATTCTCCACATATCATGAAAAAAAATAAACTTGAGAGCTATGGCCGCGAGTGGCTCCTAAATCCTCATGATGCTAGTCCACTGCTGGTATGTTAGTAGTGGTAGGAAATCTGGCTAGTCTGTAGATAAAATTATAGTTAGAAAATGAAGTGACTTGGGTAGAAAACAGTGAGATTGTGAGAAAACTCCCTCATTATTAAATGGACTCTTTGCTTTTGGTAGCAAACAAGGTATATTGCAGTATGTATCTTGTCAATATCTAAGTGAAAGATGTATATTTATATAGACAGATAGTCAAGAGTACAGATAGCTTTGAATCCAGCCTTCAATACTGGGATGGAGACTGGAAAGTTTGAAAAGACGTAGGAACTGTATTTGTAGTCTCTTAAGCATATATATAGTACCTACAAGTATTTAAATAAATGATAAACTGATAAACTGAAAGAGACTGAGAGTCATCATCATGTGTCAGACAAGGGAGAGTTGCAAGTGGTATTTCCCACCTGGTGAAGTATACTGACACTAAAATGAGACAGCAGGATTTGGAAGATCAGATGAGAAGGGCTTTATAATGAAATTTATCTTGTGTAGGGATGGGTGACAAGTAATGTTGGTTAGGAGTTCACAGACTTCATATAGGTACCTCTCTAGTCTTGTCACAGGCTTGGAAACAGTGCTAGATAAACTTTCCAACGACGAAGTGGAACCAGGTAAATCAACTTGGTTTCAGCCCATACCCATAAGGTGCAGTCACAAAAGGAAGTGTCTAAACTACCTTTTGGCTTACTGGGACAAAAGTAATATCCAAGAAAATAAAGAGAATTGGAGAACTGGGACTACCATTCCAGGGGTGGCTAATCTTTTGTCCCTGTTAATTTCCTTAGAAGTAAACAAGCATATCTATTTCCTTAAACCAGAGTGTCAACCTAACATTTTTGGCAATGAAGTGTGCAATGTTTGTTTCCCTAGCACTTAAGTGGAACATGGGAGGATGAAGCGACCTCCGAACAGGTCAAGCTAGCTGACCTATAATAGTGGGCTACAGTTGACAAAAACAAGTTAAGAACCCCTCTTGAATTATAATTTGAGGCTCTGATCATGGTAAGTTAGTGACTGAATGAGGAAGGGAAGAAGTACAATACATGTATGCTCTTATGCTACACTCTCAGTAGGGATATGTTACTTTTAAATTTAAATCAATAAAAATTTGAGCTATTTAGTCACACTAACCATATTACAAGTGATTCATAAGACATAAGTGGCATTACAACACAATGGTGCATAAGATATTTACATTGCCGCATAAAGTTCTGTTGGATAACACTGTTCAAGACTTTCTCATCTGTGGGAAAATATTTACTACAAAAAAATAATGGAGATGTATGCACAAATGAGATTATGTAGGTGAACAATGTTTTTTTTTTAAATATTACATCCATAGAGGCCAGGGACGTAGCTCAGCAGAACAGCACCTATTTGCCAAATATGAGGCCCTGGATTTGATTCCCAGTACCAAAAACTTTTTATAAAAATATAAACAAAGAAAAGTATTGCATGCATTAAAGGGTGGGGTAATAGTATGATTGTTTTGTGTTTTCTGGCTAATAGATTTATCTATTGTCAAATGAGAATGAGCAACCTCCAAGTACCTACCTTGTTGCCACTGAAATGAACCATCTCATAGAGATTCAGACTTTTCTGAGAAAATGCCCAAGGCTGGGAAAGGTATATAACCTTGCTGATGAACCTATGGTATACATGCTACAGCGGGTAATACGTATGACTGAAAGTTCTAAACAGTTCACCATCAATGATATACACTGAGCATGGCCTCGTGTGACTAGTTGGTTTCTCAGTTTTTAATGAAAGCTACTGGCTAGAACCTTCTGCAAGACAGACTTGTCATTTCTTGATTATTTGCACCCACATCTAACACTCTAAAACCAAACCTTTGCATCTTTATGTCAATGTTTGGAGTTGACTAGAAAAATGATTTTAGTCCAGTTCAGTTTCCAAGTCATTTAATGGCCCCAAGCAATTCCTTCTTCAGAATTGTACAACCAGTTCAGTCACCAGAACATTTTACTCAAGAGTTTTGTTAGAGGTATCCTCAAATTCTCAGTAATTTTATATTTGGACATTTTGTAAGTGAAATCCAATAGAACACATATCATGTGCATAAGCAGAGGAGCCACAAATAAAACACATGTTAGCTAGTCACATTGTGCTCATGGTATTCAGGAACATAGTTAAGTGGAAACTTAGAGACTCAAATCAACTACAAAATTAAAGTGTTACAACACACCATGGAGAGCAAGGGCACTAACAACCCCATGAAGGCACACTGTCTATTTGAATCAGAACTTGTTTCAAGCACCCAAAGAAAATGATGATGTTCTGACAAACATGAACAACCAAAGAACTTATCATATCCTTTCTCACTCATGTAAATTCCCTGAATTAATGAACTATTTCCACTGAAGATGATGACATAAAAGCAAAGGATAGAAAAAGACTACCTATGTTCTTTTTTCTTTCATTTTTCTATACTCACCAATAAGCCAAAGGTACAGAGTATTGGGAGAATGTGTGTCAAGAAGTGCAATTTTAAAAGTTAAGATGTCTTTCTACGGAGTTCTCACTGTTATGATAAGAGAAAAAGAAAGATATTAATCTGTAAGCTACAAAAAAAATCTTTAAAAAAGAACAGTGTAATTTTGGTGCCTCTATATATAAATTTAATATTTTTATATTTGTACTTAAAATAGGCATTGCACAATATAAATATGAATGACAAATAAGCTAATATTTTAAAATTTTATTTTTCTTAGTATGATAGAAAATGCCAATAAAAATCTATAACAACAAATCTATGGCAAAAAGCCTGGAAAAGCAAGCATAAGGCTTCATATTTTAGCCTTTAATACTTTTTTCAAAAAGTACTGTTTTGAAAAAGTATTTTAATTTTGTATTGAGCCCTGAAATTATGCAGCAAGTCCTGGCCTCAAGCTAGTTATTTGAATTCTTCTCATCTTATTTTTTATTGATTGATTAAGTGAAAAACAGATTTTGGCTGCAGGTGCTCAAGTTTAAAGTATGGCTCCCTTCCAAAACAGGAACAACTGAGGTGCAGACTGTTTTACTAACAGGAGGCACAGCTTCATAATGAAGAGTTGATGCAGTATAGTGTGCCTAAAATAAATTCTGACCCTTTCTAATTTAAACGGGGGTAATTTATTTAAATCTCTTTGTGCCTTATTTTCCTCAGCTATAAAATGGAAATTTGATAACACCAGGGCTTTCCACATAGATTCATACCAATTTTGATTGTATTTATAATAGAAAAATATTTAAGTGTCTGGTACATATTTTGTGTTATAAAATATTATCTATTTCACAAAATAGAGGGAAATAACCTACCTTTAATCAGAAATCTGAGTCACCCTGAATAATATTATTGTGACATAGCATTATTTTAAAAGATTATAAATGACAACACTTAGAAATATTTACTTTCACTAAACACTATATAAGCATATGTTGATATGATTTAAGGTTTAGATAAATAAGCAGCATTTATACTGATTTCCCCAAAATGAGCATTTTTCTGGTTGTCTTAAGTTTATAAACATGTCTAGACACTTTCAGGCAGTCAGACTATACATAACCAGGCTTCATTACTGTTTTGTGTTTGAGATACAAGTGCTTAAGAATCAAGAGAAATTTATAAAATTTTATTTTCTAAATCATATTTTTATTGGATAATCTACTAACCACATAAAAAAGAAAACTCATAATAAAGCTAGCTGCAATAAATTTGTTTCAATGTATCCTAGAGACTTTCCAATGTTTAGATGTTCAGGCACAAATCCTACATTACACTGCTATAACACAACTTGGAAGGTTCAATACCACAGAGAATACAGCCTGCACTTAGACAGAAATGGGAAATAATATTTGTAATTATAAAGTCCAAAGTGCTCATTACTCTAAACAGCTATGAAAATCCTCCTTGTTCCAAATTCCCTTGGAAGTATGTGAATATAAGAAGGAAATAAATGTTTAGCTGTAATAATTAAAAATAATGCTGCAACAGTTACCTTAAAAGAGAGCTTTTTAGACTGGGAAAAGAAACACTTCCGTAAGTTTCACAAGAAGATAATCTTTAACAAAGATTATTGTTTTAAAAAGCTAGTGGACATATTCTCCCTTTTAGAATAATTTCATTATCCTGCATAGTATTTCACATACTTTGATACTTTACAGTTTCTTTTATTTTAAATTTTTTCCCTTTCTCTTGTCATACAAAGTATTTCAGGGTGAGCACTTGTCTCACTGTGTTTGCATCCTCCCATGGTGTCATGTGTAACTAAAAAAAATTAATTTTAAAAAAACCTTCATTTCATTGGTTATCATTGCATGAATAGCAAGATTTTTAAACAAGCATAATTTTTAAAAAATAAACTTTGAAATCAGCAAAGAAATAATAGAAATAATAGTAATATAATCTATTATTCTCTCTCTGTAATAATAGCTAAAAAGAATACTTGGAAGTTACTGAATCTGAATTATGAAATAAAGCATTTAGAGATGGTACAACAGTGGCAAGCTTAATCCTACATGTTTAGGGCTTGTTTTCTCCTTGGGGAAGTTTAGGGCATCTAAGTAGATTAAACTTTCCAGTACTATTCTAGAGACTGGCTAAGCCTCGCTAAGCAGCACTTACATTCACCTTAATGCCTGGGGGTAATCCAAAGTATCAAGAGATGTTTGACAATTCACACTTAGAATCACATAAGTTTAGAACTGAAAAAATGTACAGAATTGATCTCTTCCATACACTTCATTTTCTTTAACATAAGGTAGTGACACCCTCAGAAATGGCATCATTTTCCAAGAGCACTCAACTCAACTGACTGTGCATGATGGACACAAGTGATCAAGCCTCCTACATTCCAAGTCTACTTCTTCTACAGCATTATCTTTATTCAAATTTTAAGACATTTCTGTGACCCACAGCCACTCAGAAGCAATGTTTAGCCATTAGATTCTTTAAAAATCAGAAGGAAAATTGCATTAATTTGCATTCTCAAAAAAGATTTAGACTTCCCAATTCTTTCCAGGCTTTAATTTCTGAAATTGCACTCTATCTATATAACCTTTATTCTTTTCACATTTTTGAGGGATATAAGAATATTGACATCAAACCAGTCCTGAACTTTTGAAGTAATAAATGAAGAATCCTTGTTCAGAAAAACCTTATGCAGGGTTCTTATTATGTTCACAGGAGCTCATTTTGAAGAAATTTCCTGTCTCTAAAAGTCACTGTGATCTTTCAGTATTGGGGTTTGGGGATGAAGCTAAGCACTGTATGCTGGGACTATTAAGGTAATGGTGTTACATTAAATTACCACTGTATTTTTTTTTCATTACCCACTGACTTCCTCTATCATGGCAAAGAGACACAGTACAAATAAAAGTGTGTAGAAAAGGAAACTATTTTACACAGAACGACTTTAAGCATATTACTGTAAGGACAGTACAAAATCTTTCTATTGAGGGGTAGTGGGAGTATCCTCTCAATTATAAGATCAAAACTGAGGACAAGAGAAGCCAAATTTGGGTTCAGCTAAGAATTTAGGGCTTAGCCTCTCTAACAGATGTCATTACGTTGCTATAGGAAACCTGCAGACATAGAAAAAATGACTTCAAATAATACATGCAGAGTGCAAAAGTGGGTTGAAATTGCAACCATAAAAATTGGCCTTTAGAATTCTAATCTATTAAAACATAGAAATATTTAAGGACATGTCAAACAGATGAAAGATTAAGAAACTAAGACCCATGAGAGTTATGTCACGTAACTGTCAAATCAGGTCTCCTCATGTATTTCCTATCTACAGTTGGGCTTAATATTGTTGTGAAGTAGAAGTCCAATTTTTAACCTTAAATAAAATGCTTAAATCTATGAAGTAGAGAATTTTGAAATATATCAAGGACACAGAGAGATTATAGGAAAGGATTACATGTTTTCCTTTGTCATTATTTGGTGAGTGAATTCTCTGTTCTTCCATGGCCACTGCTTTTGGCTATGTTTGAAGCTGTGGAAATATTTCTCCTGGATTCATCTATTCCCTGGAAAGGAAACTCAATCAGACTGAAGCGAAAAAAGTTCTCTCCAAGTAATGATAAATTGTCTAAATTGAAAGCTCAAAGCATAAACAAATTTGAGCAGTACAGACATCGTACAAAATTAAATTTCCATTTAGTGAATTTGAATGATGTTTTGAGAAAAAGAGAAGACAGTATTATAAGCCCTGCTTCCTTCTACTGTCGTTTTTAAGACTCACTCCCAAGTAACTGAAAACACAATCTTGTTTTTTTGAGTTTCTATTATTTCTATATACTTTATTGTCAGTGAAATGTGTAATGTGCTTTGAATGTAATCACTATTAATACTGTTTATACAGGAAAACAAAGGCCCACAAATTCTGATATACAGTGATACATACTTTACTGAAATCAAATATAAATTAAACATATGTTTGAATTTATGAAGTGGTTTAGACACACAAAATGTTTGGTGTCCATTCATATTTTTACATATCACTAGAATTAAATTTCATATTTTCATAAACCTGATTAAACTAGGCATTTCAAATTGACCAGATTATAATAATGCCATTCTGAAGTTTAAGGTAGAACTGATTTAAACTACTGATCAAAAAACTCTAAATTCTGAGTTTTCAATTGGTATCAAAAATACATTATATTTTTATATAACTATAACCAGGCCTTAAAGTACCTTTTTGAACTTCTCACACTTTGTTTTTCATTCTGTCTAGCTCTAAACTGCCTGTAGCAGTGCTACATTTGTTTCTCTTGTTTTGCTTTTATAGTTACAAGCCTTTAATTCTATTCAGCCTTTCCGAGCCAGGTCAGAAATAATGGTTAGAAATAATCCTATAAGTCTTGTAGGCCTTCTCTTTCTTCATGCTCTACCACCTTGTCCCATATAGGACAATGAGAGAGCAATGTTTTAAACTGCTTAAGAATTCACCAATTATACAATCTAGGTGAAAGAATCACCAATCTTTTAACTAACTGTGGACCTTAGGCTTGTCTTTTAACCTTTCTTAGCTCCAAATTCATCCTTATAAAATGAAGCTAATTAATAGTTTTGGTCTCCTAGAATTGTAATAATCTAGCACACAGCAGACAGTCAACAAGTATGAGTTTCTTTTTCCTACTTTACCAAAATAAAAATCCTTATAGACAAGAACATTGGTCAGGGAACCCTGCAGTACTTCACACTCTGCTAAGTAAATGTGACTTTCACCACCCACCAAGGAATAAATGATACTGACATGGCTGTTTGCAGTTGGTAATACTATCTTCATTTTCAAATTGATTCATGTACTTCAGCAGTGACTGACAGAGTGTTAACAGTATGTCAGTCAGACTTCTGGGTCTCCAAAGATGTCCATCCTCCAACCCTCAGAATGTAAGGAAGAACCTTGAAATGGGAAATCTGACTTAAATAAAGTATATTCAATATTATCACAGGAATTCCTCAAAGCAGAAAATCTTGTAGTCATGAAAAGACACATAAAGATAGAATGATTAGAGACCAACACTGCTGGCTTTAAAGATAGAGAGGTAAAATGTGAGCCTCTAGAAGTCAGAAAAGGGGGCCCGGGATTTAGCTCAGCAGCATAAGCACTTGCCTAGTGAACACGTGGTTGTGAGTTTGATCCCCAGGACAAAAAAAAAAAAAAAAAAAAAGAGAGAGAGAGAGAAAGAAATAGATTCTAGCTAAGTCTCCAGAAAGGAACACAGCCTGCTGACACCTCGATGTATTGGACTTCTGGACTTGAGATCAATAATCTAATAAATTTATGTTGATTACTGCCTTTAAATTTATGGTAATTTGTTAAAAGCAAAAGAAAAAATTATACAAAATAATAAAGAACAAGATTATGAGCTAGATCATACACACAATATTCCTAAATATTTAAGGAATATGTAAGGTCATTTTATAAGGTAAGATAATAAAATTCATTTGAGAGCAAAAAAATACTCTAAAAAACAATTATACATTATAAGGCTATTTTTTTAAAAATCACTGTATTTTACAACCATTCATCAAAAGCAATGAAAATATAAACTATTGTGCTTTTCTATAACAAATATTTTAGAATATTTACTATGTGGGAAACAGTTAATACACATTTTATAAATATTAGTCATTTAGTTACCGTGCTTGCTTCGCAAAGAACAGAAGACACAGGACAAGTAACTTTGCCATCCAAAAGTACACAGCTTGCAAATGGCAGAGACAGAATATATTTCAGGCACGTTGGCTCCAGAGTTCACACTTCTTTTCTTTTAGCAGTAGAGACTGAACCCAGGGCTTTGCACTAGGCAATATCCCCAACTATTTTATTTTATTTTATTTTTTTTTAATTTTGAGTCACTGTCTCGCTAAGTTTTAAAATGTCCAGACTGGACTTGAACTTGCAATCCTGCAGCAGTCTTCCATAGTGCTGGGAATATAGACACATGTGACACCAGCTCTGGCTCAATTTTCATTTTTAATTCCCAATTATATTTCTTCTAAAAACATAAACAAGCTGTATAATATGCATCACCAATAAATTGCTTTAAATATCTTTTAGACTTAAACAAAATCCATGTATTCTATATTACTTTTTTTCCAATTCATTCATTCAAAAATCCTATCTACTGTGACATACTGGGCACTAGGGGAAAGAGAAAAGAATAAAACAATGAGCATCTCCTTAAAGAGTTTATAGTAAGAGGGAAGATATATTGAAAGAATGTAATAATTATACTATGACAAAATAATGAGTTCATTCGAGCAAAATCATCACTCTGACCCTATCCTCAATGAGCTTATGCCTTAAAAATTATTAAAATTAAAAAAGAAGACATCAAAATAAACAAGTGATACCTTAGATGCTATAGGAACTGGTGCTAAAAAGCATTTGGAACATACATTTGCAGGAACTAGCAGTAGGGGTGGGCACTAAACAGTCTGAAGAAGATAGAGGAAGTGGAGTTTCGTATTTCAGAAAGATCATTCCAGAAAGCAGCCAAAAGAATGAATCTGTAGTCAGGCTGAAAAGTAAAGTGGTAATACGGTTTTTCATTAAGACAACAGCAGCAAAGTTTAGAAGAGAGTTTAAAAGTTTTGGAACAGTATTAGAATTATAGCCAGTATATGTTATTGTCCACATCCACATAAAATCAGTCGCCCTCGCCAAATAACAAAGATGATGGCGAGTAACGATGATGATAGGAGAACAGTGAGGCCATGTGCCTCTCTGATGTCTGTAAATACCAGGCACAGGAATGACAAGAGAGAACATTTGGAGCACATGAAAGGTTTTGGTGTCTTTCTACAGAGTTTACATGTTGTCTTGGGACAACTAAAATGTATCCCAATGCCTGCAACCTGTGAATATATTACCATAAATAAGATGGCAGTAAAGTTTTAGACCTTGACATAGAGAGAAGCAACCTAGTCAAATAGGTTTTTTTTTTGTAATTTTAAATTTTTAGTACATGTTCCCAGTATATAATGGCTATATTTCTAATGGGGAGTTGGTATATGTACATTAACATCTTAATTTTTTTTCATTCCCTTCCCTCCCTCCATCTCTTGAACTGCTCACTTTTACAAATTATGCATCTTCCTCCCTATTCGCTGTTATCTTTTATTTTACTCTTTAATTTATTTATACTTTAGGTTTCTCATATAAGAGAAATCATGTTGAGAGGCTGAGGCAGGAGGGTCACTGTGAGTCTGAGGTAAGCCTGGGGTATACAATAAGTTCACGATCAGCCTGTACTACGTAGTGAGACCTTGTCTCAAAAAACAAAAAACAAAAAAAAAAAAAAAAAAAGAGAGAGAGAGAGAAAGAAATCATGTGGTATTTAAGTTTATGTCTGATTTACTTCACTTAATATTATGGTCTCAAAGAATATCCATTTTCCTGCAAATGCCTCAAGTTTATCTTGGTATATAGCAGTCTCCATTGAGTAAGGTACCACATTTTGTTTATCTATTCATCTGCTATCAGCACATAGGTTGGTTCCAACTGTTGATAAAATTTTTTAATGGCTATAATTGCAAAGAAATAATAATGGAAGAGGGAAGAGACACAGAAGGAGGCACTCAACAAATCATTGTTAACAAGATGACAGAGGACATGGGCCCAAACTAAGGAAACGGTGGCTTCTGGAAGCTAAAATAGCCCTCAACTGAAAGCAGGAAAAAAAATCCCTTCATTACTACAGCAGCAAGTGACTGAATTTAGTCAAAATCCAAAGCATTCAAGAAACTAGATTTTTCCTTTGATCATCTAGAAAGGAAAAGGAGGTCTGTTTAGTCCACTGAAATCCATGTGGGGCTTCAGAGCAACGGAGATAATAAGATAATAAACTGGTAATAAATGGGTATTATTTTGAGCTGCTTGATAATTTGTTATGGCAGCAATAGTAAAGAAACTTGAGTCTTGTCTAAAAGACTCAAATGTATTGACTATTGATTTATGAACAATGTAATATGCTAACAAATTTACTTACAGTCTTTAATTTTGATGGTTAGAGGTATAAATCTCTAACACTCTACATTTTTATTAAGTTCAAGTTCCTCAAAACATAAAATTCATTAAAAGTCTAAAAGAAGATATAAGTTGCTATTATAAATTTTTCTTTATATATTCTTCAAATATAAAGAAATATTTTTTCTTCTTTCTCATGGTTAATAAATGAAGTCTATTCTAATTATTGCTAGTATTTTTTAAACTTTGTCGTCTTAATTAGACTCTCAGTATACCTGTAGAAATATGCAAATTCTACAATTAAAACAACTTATGTGTTTAAAACAATTAAATCCATAGAAGTAAACCATTTACAGCCAAACACTACAGTGTCGCCATTGTCCGTGGATTTACTGTTTCTGAATTGACACCAATTTTCTTCTAGAAAACAAAGGTCATCTCCCCTTTTCTTGTGACACATTTTTTTTTTTTTTTTTTTGGTCTTTTTCGTTTTTATCGGTACCAGGAATCGAACTCACGACTGCCTGCTTGCAAGGCAGATGCTTATGCCGCTGAGCTAAATCCCCAGCCCCGTGACACATGTTTTTATCAACACAACCTAATAATATTCCTGGCCCCAGAAGGTTTTGGGGTTAAACTAATGCAAATTAATATATTTTTAAAGTAAATATAAAATACTGAACATACAGCTTGCCTGAAACCTCAGGTTTCTAGCTTACTATATCATTAAAGATATACTATGGTGTATTATACGTAGGTTAAACCTAAAACTTTAAACATTTAATATCAGTACATTAAAAGTTATGCATGTTTCCCATTTAATTCAAATTTCTTCATAATTTGGTGTTATTATTATTATCAGTAGTGTGATGTTCACGTGACCCAGATAAAATTCCAAAACTAGAACTGCTTTCTGAAAATATTCTTTACATTAATCTTTTTTATGAGGGTGGGGGTGGCTTTCACTTCTTAAAAATTAGGTACAGTGTATTTGTAGGCTACCCAAGAAGAACAGTACAGCTGCCTTCCTTCAGAACTTTGGATTGAAAGACCTATTTCTCCTCGAAGGGAATTCCTTCCTCTCTAAAACAATATCCAATATTAAAAAAATGTGAATCGCATATGTAATTTTACACTTTCCAAAATATTTTCATTTCAACATATAATCAATATAAAATTAATGACTATTTAATGTTCTCCCTTTATACCATGTTGTAGAAACGCTGGGCCTGTTTCATACTATGAGCACATCTCAGTGCACACTTAGTCAATGGCCACATTCATGGCTGCAGCTTAGGACATCATCACTCCTGCCCTAAGTCAATTACATACCCAATCATTTTGTAGCTTCCACTCCATATCTCATTTGTACTTCAGGTTCACTTGGCGGGAAGGACTTTCATCATCTTCCTCCTCACGCCATTTTTACCCCTAAGTACAGAAAGGAGCACCACATTCCAGGTATGTGATGTCAAACTGTATATCCTTAATGTAAAAACGAATTCGTGTTAGGTGATTAATAATTTTTTTATCTTGCCCATATTTCAGATTTTCAGTAACAACCCTGTCCCACACAGTAATTCCTCAAATTAAATTTTAAAAGTATTTCTGTGACATTGCTTCTACAACAAATTGTTCTAGGAATAAAAGGGGAGGGGCGGGTTGACAAGAAGGTTTCTAAAACTGAGGAAGTGTAGGTATCTTTCATTCTGATTTCACCCAAACCCGACCACCAGAAACACACAGCCACCCATACTACAGAATGAATGACCGCCAGGAGAAGCACGCTTCCGTCGGATTCCGCTCCCAAAACTCTGTGACCGGATTCTGCGCGGCTTCCAATTTACAGCCGTCCCCGCGGCACTGCAGGACGGACCCCGCGGGGTACTAGCCAAAAGGAGCTGCAGAAGTCAGGCTCCCTGCTGGACACACAGGGCCTGAAGGGCAGGTCTGGGGGCCTCGGAGACACAGCCGGCCTGCCGGCGGGCTCTCTCATCACAAGGTCATCCCGCAAGAGGGCTCCTCTGGGCGCACGAGGAGACCCCGAGGTGCTGAGGCGACCCGTAGCCATGTGGCGGCGCTTTTCCCACGGCCCGCTGTGGAATGGAGAGACAGAAAACGAAGTCTGAAGAGCCTCGGCCTTCCCGCGCTCTCCAGACACTGTTGGCTCTACCCGCCTGGCCCACGACCTCTGGCTGACCGGTTCATGACTTTTCTGCCAATCAGACAGGGCTTTCCCGACCAATGACAGTACTCGGGTGTTCTCTTCGGCTCTTCGGCTCCTCGGCTCTTCGGCTCCTCGGCTCTTCGGCTCCTCGGCTCTTCGGCTCCTCGGCCCTTCGGCTTGTTCGCGTCCTTCACAGTATTACTGAGCCTACTCAGGCTCTACATCAGCTCTGTCTGGTGTAATTTCCTTTTTTTTTTTAACCGCTTCCGGGTCCTGCGTCGCTCCGGAAGCCCACAAATTCCGGAAGCCTATGTCACCTTGATTCAGCCAGGAAAAGGCAAGGTTTCCAGAGAATGTTTCTGAAAAAGTTACGCGGAGCATGTGTGGTTCGCAGACTCATAAGGTCAGTGTCTGCCCGAGAGAGCCAGAGTGCAAACCCGAGGTCTGGCTTGCAGCAAGGAGGTCCTGAAGCTTCACAATCTTGTAATTCTCGCTTTTTGGTAGAGTTGCCCTGTTTACTGCTTGGAAAAAGCAAATCAAACTGATTTCGGGAAAAGCAACAGACCAAATCCAAACTCCTAAAAATTTCTTAGAAATTTGTTCAATTGAAAGAACAGACCGGGCTACAGTTGAATCTCTCTTAATTCCCTGAAGTGACATTTTAGAGAGGAACTTGAAATACTTTCCTTCGCACTTAGTAGCCGGTCGTGAAAATATTTGTTTATTATGAATGGTTTTAAGAATAGTTCATTATCCACGCTTTTCTTAAACAAATGAGGGCTCCATATAAGGAGATGTATTTGGTACCAATAGATAAGTATAAACTAAGTAACTTGCATTTTTGAGAGTCCATTGATTGAAAACCAGTTGTGGTTTTCTTATGGTGGAGGAGATATTAAGAATTTTCTTAAAGAATTGCTCGTGAAAAGTTTTTTCATTGACTTACAATAAGGAATATGAGAATCATTAGCATTTTTCTTCTGAAACCTTAAAGGCCATTGTTTATTTAAGTGCCATTTTCCATACATCGAACATATAGTTTAAGGGCTTTTTCCTAAATGAGACTAAGTTGATGAAGACTATTAAGTTCTGTATTACGTAAGAATATTGCTTAAGTGGCACCTCTTGGTAATTTGTTATCTTGACAATTTGAAGCAGTTACAGGGAGACTGTGGCCACCCGCACCAGTTTTGTAAACACCTTAAAACTGGTGTGTTACCTTTATTGAAATGAATTTGAGGTTACTGACGTTTCTTTTTTGTTTATCTCTTCTCTGATCTCATCCATATTATCAATTACTAGAGTGGAATTATTTTGAACCAGAAAATTTGAAAGAAGAGAAACAGCAGAATTAATTCCAAAATCAACCAAAGAACCTTTCGTTTTTTTCTTTAAAAAAAGAAGAGAAATGAAAATGAACAGAGTATAATTGAATCCTAAGCAAAAATCAAGAGACTTGGGTTCTAGTTCTGATTCTGGCTTGCCTCTCACCACCTTTACCTCTTGGCCTTATTCTCCTCAGTCTTAGAATTTGTGTGTTCTGCTTTTGTAATAGGGTTCCGATGAGGGTTTAATTTATATCTTTTATATCGACTAATCTGTTTTTCCTTCTAGCATTAAAATTCTATTCCTTAGGACAGTTATTCATTTGTATTCAGTAGGCATTCACCTGACTGTTACAGTTTTCTAAAATTGTGCCCATATTTAATTTCATTTGTTTTATAGACATGTTTCAAATCCTTTCTTTCTGATCAGAATCAGAATCCCTTATTTTCCTGTGTTCCACATACTCTTAGTTTAGCCATAAAAGTTTTGTTCATAGATGAAAAGCAGGTATTTAATATTTTACATGTTCAGTAGCTGAACTTTAAAACCTTAGAAATATTAACGGGCTGGTCTGCCCATCAACACATCTTGATAGGATTCTGAGTCCTAACCCCATGCTTTCCTCACAGCATCAAGTTACTTCAAAGTTTTTGTGTCTCTGTTGCACACCAGTCTTATGCTCACGCTCCTATAGCACTAGGAAAATAGGTGCCATATGCATAATCTTTACTTGTGGACAGAAGTTCTACTCTGAAGTGTTTGCTTTTTTTCCTCCCTTTTGATCTGGGTTTGACAACCAAGAAGCAAATTACATGTTTCCTTTATCTTTTTCCTGTGAAGTGATAGTATGTCTAAACATTCTGTCCCCGAGTGCCTTTCCTTCATAATATATGAGAAGCCTGAGGAGAAAAACCCTGATTCTTTCCATTTGCCCCTTCTCTGGAGTCCTGACCCAGCCTCTTTAAGCCTACCCTGTGGTTTGTATTCTTGAGGCAGGGATGATGATGCCTATTGATCTTTCTGATATATGCCCAACTATACAATCAAAATACCCTTTGCTATATTGCTTTATACAGTATTACATTTTCATTTTAATCAGAGCTTTCCTTGTTTACCTTCCTGCCCCCCCCCAAAAAAAGTGAGATAAAATTCCATCCAAGATGTCCTTTCTGGTTTCCTACTATCAAAAGACAAAAACAAGTAGCACCAGAGTAATTCTGTTTTGATCATGCTTTTGTAGTGTTCAGTGGGTAGAACCGACATTAATTTTACTTAACATACAGTATACGTTTGTAATAGTTGAATGGTCACACTTCATTTTTTATCTGTATATTTCCTTTGTTCGGATTTGACAGTAAATCATTTTGAATGTTTCTTTGAACATATGTTTAGAGAGAAAAAGGGAAGGACTATAGATGCCATTCATCCCAATCAATCTAGGCAACTTTACCAAATTTCTGTAGTTTCTGTTCCCATCTGTTGTGAAATTGGAAGTCATAATTGAATATTTTGTGCAAGGCAATTGGTTAAGGTAGTCAGTTAGCACTCAGTAACTGGTGATTGCTATGTGCTTACCAATATAGTAAACTAACACTTTTTGGGATTCTCTTGGTTAATGCTTTTGCCTTAATGTAAAGACTCTTTCCTACATGTCCTGCTTTTATTTCTCTATTTTACGCTTTCCAAACTTATTGTTCAACATTACCATTCTGCAATTGAAAATGACTTTTACAAACTTCCTTCTGCTTCCAAGGTTTCTTAAAGCAATTTCTATCTGGATTTTTAGGTAGATTATTTTTATACTTGCTTTTTTCATTCCTGTGCATGAAGATCACGTGGTAAAATGAGCTGTCCAGAGTTTCACAACCTGTGATCCTGGACTATAACATAGAACTAATCAGAGCCTGTTTAACACGCCTCCCAGTCACTCAGCTTCTCTTAATTTTTGCATTATATATCATTGAAATTTATCTTATGTGTGATAGAAAGGGAGGGACAACAGAATAGTGACAACTCATTTAGCAAATCGGTGACAGAAGTGGGATTTGAACTTGAGAGTTGATTTCTAGGCTTATTCAGAGTGCCAGAGGTGAGAGTGTCCTAATATGTCCTAGCCATAGCTTTTACTTCCTTCCCCATGTTTGAAATCTGTTCTGGGAATCTGTGTCCTGTTAAATCCCTTTTTGATGCATGTCCCATTTATTAGTATTGATTTCAATACAGTGTACAGTAAATCTATTCAACTGCACAAAGGAAATAAAATACTAGAGTGTAGATTCAAAACTTAAAATCTCTAGTGGAATTTAATTCACATGACCTCATATTATGAAATTTTAGTTTAAAACTTAAACATCTAGTGAGAGATAAAATAAATATATCATTCCATCAACTTTGATTGTTAAAATGCTTAAAATGGTGTCAATATGTCATTGTCATACTAAAATTCAGTTGATTATTGTGGAGCTACAAAAGAACAGCCTAGCAGGGAGTATATTGGTACATATGATAATTTAGAGATTAGTTAGAAATCACATGTTTCCCGTTAACAAAATTTACAAGACTATAAATTTAAATGTAGAATTTTTGTAGTCAGTATGCATTGACAAATATGTTTAATGGTAATATATTTAGTACTGAGTCTTGGAACAGGTCAATAATAATGTGTATATTGATAGCAGCAACGTAGGAGATGTTACTTGGTATTATAGCTAAAATCCATGTTATCCCCTTAATCATAATTACATTAATATTGACAGACCCTTCACAATACCCACATTATTATTGATAGATTTCTGTCAATAACATGTTTTTAAATAAAATATATTCATTCATGATTTGTGCTATGCTCTATAAAAGCTCTAAAATACATTCTGAAGATTTCCTTATTCCTCAGTGAGATAAAGTCATTCATTTTCTTTTCTCAGTGTGATATAGATGAAAAAGTTTTTATTGGGGGAATGAAAAATCTAAATGAAAATGTACACTCTTTAAGACATAAGGTTATATGTTAAAGCTCTTTGTAAATACATTTTCTGAAGTTCCCCCCCCCCAGTGGGGGGAGGGAAGCTGTGTGACATGGATAAAATGTAATCAGGAGATCTTTTGAATAGTTTTTAGTGCTGGACCATTTTGTCTTAAACATATTTATGTGACAAGTTAATCACACTAATCCTAGTAGTTACTATACATTTTATCTGTTCTTCATTTTTCTTTAAGCATCGTTGTTCACATATCTTTAATGTAGTAGGATCCTTCTTTAACACTAATATTTGTATTTCAAGTTCTAATTAATTTTGTCTTTTTGCATGACTAATAAATGTTTCGCCCAAAGTTAACTCTTTATAATCTTGAAATTAAACTAGCTTGGAAAATTAAGGGGACAGGTGACAGAATTTGTATTAGAAGACAAAAAAGGAAAAATTACTGTTTTTGATGTTCTGAAAAAATAATTAACTAAATTCAATAGTGCTTGTTTTAATTCAGAACAATCTAACACTCTAAAAAAATAGTTAACTGTCTTTTGTAACTATTCATACTTGAGCCTACATTTATGAAGCTAGTTACTAATGTAAAACCAATAATTTGGAAATTAGTACTGCTTTCTTACGCTCTTATAAGCAGTGTGAAAATAAACTGACCAATGGTTGAGCATTGCTATTGTCAGTGTATCACAATTTAGAAAAGTATTGTAGTCTGATTTATAATGTGATCTCCTTTTTCATTTCCATAGTTCTTAATGAAATTAAATTACTTTGACTTACCAGAATGCCATTAGCATTTTGGTTAAACCCTGAATTGTAGGAGTCTCATAACTGATCTTGATAAACACAGTTTTTCTTTGACTTGCTCATTAAATTCTATAATGTTGATCTTTCAAAATTTATAGTCTGTTATGTTCTTCTTTTCAGTGTTCATTCATACGTACAGAATTGGTGCAACTGCCTTAACTTAGGTACTTTTTACAAAGTGGTCAGATTGACCTTTCAGCCAGTCTATACTGCCAACCTCTTCTCTGGGTATAGAAAGTAACTTACCTCTTTGCTTCCAGATGAACATGTTACCACATTGATGAGGGTTAAATAATAAAAGACATATGAAGCTCATGATGAAATTCATCCCCATATATCTTGGCTAGAACATAGCCAGGATCTTGCATGTTTCAAGACTTTTATAGAACCTATTCTCTTGTCCTAAATGCCATTTTTTTTCTATTTTGTGTCTGGGGAGTTTGGTGACCCTTGCGTTTTCTATATTTTGATATCCATTCTTTACTTCAGAGAGCCAGGCCCAATTACACTAACATCCTTTTTCTTTAAAAATGTTTAACAATAAAGAAGTTAACTGATAGTTATGTATATTTAGATCAAATCTCTGATACTTAGGAGAATATCTGGCATTTGGTGCTCCATAAACTTTGTTTCAGTTAAATAACCATTCACCAGAGAATCAGAAATTGCTTAAATACTAACTGCTTGAAGAATAATTTTATGTGGTGTGAAGGCATTTGTTGCACTCTGTCTGTGCTTCATGCTGATTATAGACAGATCTTACTATTGCAATGGAAGAAAAGGACTTAGATAATGTCTTACCAGTAAGGTAAGCCAAATAGATAATGTCATTATTGAACTTCGAGTTGACTTCTAGTTATTTTTATTTGCTTAGCCTCTCTAGCTCCTGGGCATTACCCTTCTCTACAGCCAATACACTATTGTAGAATTTCTATACCTGCCAGAAACGAAAATGTGGTTGGAGTTGGGGCGAAGGGGAAGAAGAACTAAATGTACTGTTAGTGTTAAACCCAAGTTTGGAAGCTTGTCTTGGACTGCCTGTACTATGCGCTGTAGACCAACGTCTCCTGGAGTCAGATATTATCAGTAGTGTTCCTGAGATTTCTTTACTGCCAGACTAACAGGTACAACCATATTGATGGAACTTTTAATAACCATGGGAGTAGATCATGCTGGGTGGAACTCATCCCCGTTCTCTAAGAATCCAACTGTTTCATTTCCACTCAGACAAGATGCAAATTTAGGACTGAACTCTGCTGAACAGTGCCATTGGCCTTTCCTGCCTGGTGCTCCCATTTATACACATAATAGTGATGTCATGTTCCCAATTGTATTTTAAAGGTCAGTAGTTTTTGGAGAAAAATTATTTTGACATAGGTTACTTAAGGCATTAGTATGAGTAGTGGTGAAGATTTCAGTCTTTCAAAGGAGATTTGCCAAAATCAACTCAAGTCTTTTGTGCCCATCACTACTCAAAGCAGCAACAATGTAGTAATAATCCTGCTTTACAGTTTCCAAACCACTTGGATAACACTGTCTTTAATCTCAATAACTTTGTGAGGTAGCTGTTGATTTTCACCTTTTAGGCGAAGATAAACCTAATGAATTTTTAAAGCTCATATAACAAGTAAGTGAAAGACCTGGAGCTTTAGCCCAGACCTGTTTATTTTAATCTCTTTTTTCCTCTGCTGTATTACAGTTGCCTGCATAGAAACACAGAGTATAGTAGAACTATACCACTTGAATAAACTGTGACTTGCAGTGGACAGTGTTTTATGTTTACAACTAAATTAAGTCATAAATAGCTAAAATCTTGGAAAATAAAATCTAAAACAATAATAGAGAAACAAATTATTCATCTCCAGAAGCAAAGACTGAAGAGCAATTTAATAATAAGTCTTTTGTTCTATTAAAGTATATTATAATAGAGAAGAGAGCAAGCCCAGCTGTTCTTAATCAACACTGGGTCCAGGCCTGGGGAGGAAAAAAAAAAAGGTACACTGTAACAGAAGGGATAAGAAAGAATTTTTTGTAAGTATTGTTAAATACTGGAACTGTTAGAGACTGTGTTAAGTCTTCTTTTCTGGCACTCATTAGAAATTCCTGTCTTTACTAAGTGCTCTGAAGCATGATTCCGCCAGACATGAGAGTTTTGAAATACATGGTGCTTCTGAGAACCCACTCTGTTTACCAGTTTCTCACTATCAGTAAGATAGAAGAGATAGAAGTCTTCCTTAACCATCCGGGTTCATCCTGGTATATCTAGATAGTAGATTGATTAGCTACCAATCTGCTTGTTAGTTAGTAGCATGTAAATTCAATAAACATTGAACAGCTGCTGTGAACCCATCTTATGGTTAGTGTGTAAGATGTTCAACAACCACAATATGCAACTGTTGTGACACTAGAAATTAAAGATACATAAATTGGCATTACTGACCCAGTAAGATAAGCCAAATATTTCATCAGATACTGAACTAAAAAACAGAAGGGTATCTAATCCAACACCAAGGGAATGGTTCGGAAGAGTAAGAGGACTTACTGGATTTCTGTTGACATCTTCGATGGTCAGAGCTTTCCAAGAGTAGTTTCTTTATCTTGATGACCACTGAATAGGAATACTTGGAAAATGCAAAGTTGTAGATACTGTCACAATAGAAGAGTTACAGTTAGGAAAGTAGATGTATTCTATGACTGAAATCACAATACATATGGTTGAGGACGCAAGTGGCACAGATGGTTGCCATCAGAGTTAAAAAGCTAATGATGAGTGGAAATAGATCATTGAAGGTTTCATGGAGAATATCAAAATGTGATGAGTAGATAGTATAGAGCAGTGGAACTAGCTAGGGAGGAAAATGGATATGTTAGGTCTATGAGAAAAGACACAAAAGCTGGACTGAAAGATGGTCTGGACCTAAAAACTCCATTGGGGAATGGTGGGATATATTATTAACAGAGATGGAGACAGGCTTGCATTTTTTCTCCAAAATCTCTGTACTTTTATTTCTGGAGTAATGAGTTAAGAAGTAATTTGTTAAATGTGAACAAGTATGTTTATAGATTATGGTTGCTGATTTTCAAATACAGTATTTTTTTAAAAAATTTTTCTCTCTTGAATCACATATATGACACTTATAAATTAAGAAACTTCATTAACTTAAAGTGAAAACAGTGATCTTATTCATTTATGTGTGTGATTTGAAATTCTTATTGAGATAGTTTTGAAATTTGATATGTATCTGAGAACCTCTGATGCCATACACCTATATTGTTGTCCTGATTTTTTTTCTCTTTTTTGCCTGCTGCCTCGCTTTCTAGACGTTAGTTGGAGTCCTTAATGAAAGGTAGGACATGTCTGTATCTCTGTATCCTAAGCACCTGAGCAGAATGCATTGACAACAGTACTTATGAAATCTGAATCTTACAAGTACTGTTTAATAGAAGAAAGGGATATATGAAGCCCTAAAAGATTTATAACCACTTCAGAGGACCCAGAAATGAGAATTAACCAGTAATTAATTGAAGGTCTGGCATCCAGCATTGAGCTGTCTGGGTGATGTGGGAAAGTGGATTTTGCTTTGCAATGTACTAGCCCTGTGATTCTTAATATCATCAGAGAACTTGTTAGAAATACAAAGTTGTAGGTCTCACTCCATGTCTACTGAGTCAAAAATTTGAGGGATGAAGCCCAGCAATCTGGCAAGTTCTCTGTGTGATACTGATGAATTCTCCAGTTTGAGAACCACTAGGCTAGACCAACAGTGAGAATACACACAGGCTTGTGCTGGAGAAGACCACAGCATGCGAATATTGAATATCCAAAGGATGTGTATCTTTATCATAGATATGTATATTTGTGTATCAGTGAACACTATGAGAATAAGATTATATTGTTACAAATACAGCTGAATGTGTTATAAATGGACAAGTTCTACTTGTTTGGGGTACAACTTTCCTCTTGTTAGCATTTATTTAGATCAAGTAGTTTTAAAAATAGATTATTTCTACCAGAAGCACCTCAAACTTATAAAAATCTCCACCCCCATTTCCCCCCATATTCACATAACTACCCACTGCATTTTCCCACTTAGATGCCTCTTACAAGTCCCCATCTCTAAAACTACATGTATGGTCTTTTCCGTCAAATTTTTACCACCTCATATATTTCCTGAACTACATAACTATCCATTCAGTTTACTCATGTCAGTATTATGTTGTGCTGTGTTTGGTTTTATTTAATTCTTTTCACAATGTCAGCTCTGCCACCTCATAACTTTAAAAGGTACTATTTTCCTCTTCATGGCCACTGGGACTTTCCTAATTTAGACTTATCATTAGTTTCTCACTAGATTGTTTTAACAACTTTTAACTGGTCACTAGGTCTCCAATACTTACAGCCTCTGACTCATTCTCGTGGTGGCAAAAACAAGCAGTTTAAATGCAAATCTGATTAATTCTTTGCTTACAATTACTCAGGTACTCTTCATTACCTTCTTGATGAAATTTTTTAGAGCCTTTGGGATCTGTCTTCTGTTTCTTTTCCAGCTATCTCTTGTCCTTGTACTTGTCCTCTGCTATTCCCCTGAACTTGGAGAACTAGCTTTACTAGACTGACACTTCTTACCCTTTCAGAGGCTGTTTAGATACTGCATCCCTGAGAAGTTTCCTGTGACCTTCTGCAGTATAGTTGTATCCACAATACCCTAATTTTTCCCTTGTATACTATTTATTCTATCTTTCTATAAATGCCTTCTTATATAACTTATCTTTATTTTCCTCCTCTTGCCACCATAGTAGATTATATGTCCCACAACTGATATAGCATTTATCACTAGCTCTCAAACATACTAACTGGTAGATAATAAACATACCACAAACTAGTGAAATAAATATTAACCAATATTCTGGATATGGTAATTTAAAATAGTTTTAAAGGTTAATGAGTAGAGTTTCTGTGTTCTGCTGCTTCCCTTTCATCTTGTTCATTTACCCATTCATGGTATTTGTAGAAAGCCCTCTGTGTACCAGGAACTGATAGTTGCTATGATTGTGTTGTGATAATATTCAAAGAATCATTACAAAACAAGGAAGTGGACAGTTAAAAAGTAGTTTATGTACAGTGCAATAGAGACAAAGAGGGAGAAAAATGGCATACTAATAAAGCACATAGCCAAATTTGAACACTTAGGAAGAAGTGATGCTTGTGACAGTAGTTTTCAGTTAAAGAATGAGAATATATGTTCTATGCAAAAGGAAGAAACAATAAAATCTACTATGAACAAGAGAACATGGCACTTTGTAAGTTGGTGCCAGTGCATGTGAAAGTAAAGCAGTGATTGAGTAGGTTTGGGAAGGTTCATGTTTTAGAAAGATGGCAGTGTAAGAAATCTACTGAAGGCAGGAGAAAGTGGATAGACCGGTTTGATATAACCCAGCAGGGAGAGGAGAACAGCCAGTCTAGGAAAAGGGTTGTGGGAGATGGAGAGTGACAACTGCATTAGGAAAATATTTTGAACAAAGGATCGATCGATAGTCCTTGGCAATGGATTGGATTGCTAGCATGACGAAATGGTCTGTGTCTTTCTAACATTTTCTTTCTTTTCTGTAGCACCTGGCAAGAATGATGTAAAGATTTCACAGAAGAAAGTGTAGCAGAGATCCCCATGGACATAGCTATAGGCAGTTAAATCTAGAAGGAGCTGCAAGAACGGGAAAAGGTGAGATCTCAGAATGCATTTAGCATTTATGAGTGAAAAACTTCTCTCATCTGTCTAAGTAGATGAAAAGCAGCACCGAATGACTATTACTTATTACAACTGTTACTCATTGCTCATTTTGGTGTCATGTATTTGAATTTGTTACAGACAAAACATTCTGCCATTTAGACATCTAGGGTCTGTATTAATTAAGGATCACTAGCAAAGCACATTTAATATAAAATATATGTATTATGTGACATATAAAATATTTGCAGGGTAGTCTTACAGAGTCAAGTTTGGAAAAATACAGGATGGCCTGCAGGGTCAAGTGTGAAAAAATGCAAAAGAGCTGTCTGTGTGCTGGCAATCTAAGGAATCCAGTCAAATACTGAAGTCCTGGAGTTCACTGCAAACCCTACTGGAAGCCTAAGGGTCTATTCCGAAAACTGAAAAGCCTGCATTGGAAGCCTGCAGATGGATGTTCAGAGGTGATGGCGAAGACTGGAGTGCCACCGAAGCAAAAGGGAGACTTTTTTTCTTTTCCTTTTTATTCTGTCCGTTCTGCAAGCCTATTGGTTGGTGTCACCACACCCCTTTCCTCTTCAATAAGTCAATCATCCAGCCAACCCGTAATGTACGAAACCAATCTGCTAGGCATTTCTTGTTCAAGTTGACACCATACTTAATTATCATACATCCATGTAGATATTATTGAAGCTTAACATATATAGTATTACTTTGGTTCACAAAATTTGTTCAGTAATTTTGGAACACATGGGCACTTTTGTGTTTGTGTGGGAAAGATGACTGAAGTCATGTCTGTCACCCCATACAGAGATTGAAAACAAAAATAAAATTTTGCCTAAGGTTTCTATTTGTGAACCAAAATGTTTGAAAACAAAGGAATTAGTGAAGCAAGGTATCAAGTGTATTTTTCAGTACTTTTTCCATTTACCAAATAACATTCAGCTTTTTGGTTAAAATCATAAAATAATAAAATTCGAAAAGAAGTAAGTCTTTCTGCCTCTAGACCTTTATTTCGTAAATGAAATGACTTCCCTTAAGAGCACTGCCTAGTGGTGATGAAGTCCTACAGAGTCTGTGCTTCCCTCTTCACTTTTGTGTTCTTTGTCTTAGCTTGTTGGACTTTTCAGAGGTCTTGGAAACATGAAAGTCATTATTTTTTCCCCAGCTTTAAGGAAGTGTAATTGACAAGTACAAATTGTATGTATTCAGAGTGAACCATGCTCTTACATCCATATATTCTGTAAAATAACTGCCATTATCAAATTAATTTGCACAATCATCACTACCCATTATTATTGTGTTTGTATGTCAAACACAGAATTTTTCATATTATAACTGAAGGCTTGTACCTTTTGATCAACATCTCCCCATTTCTCCTGAACCTCAGCCACCACCGTTTTATCCTTGACTTCTATGAATTACATGTTTTTAGACTCTACTTACATAAGTAAGATCACACAAGGATTCATTTTTGAATTTATACTTTTTGATCATAATTCTGATTTTCCAATTCATTAGTAAAATTTTAAATATTTGAATTAGTCTGTATGCAACTGTAAAATGAGTGTTTTAATTGCGTTCATCTGCACATAATGTGTCAAGTAACCATTATTCAACTTAGATTTCAATAAAGATTTTCCTTTTAGTACTTAGTTGTTACCTTGATGTATTTATGAAATTATCTTAGTGTATATCTTTGTGTCATAGATTAGTTTTGTGAAGTACTATCTGATGTGTGCATTTGTAACATTAATAGACTGTCATTGTTTAGATCTAAAATGTCCCCCAAAGGCTCATGCATGTGGAAGGTGACTGGATTATGGGGGCATCACAGCTGATTTGCCCGTAGGAGGTGGAAATCTGCACAGAAGAGGCAGATCTTGTTGACCTGACCTCGAACAGTATATCTCCTTCCGTATTCTCTGCTCCCTGGATACCATGAGTTGAGCAGCTTTCCTTTGGCCAATATCTTCTACCATGCAAGGACTGAAACTTAGAAAAATGTTACCCAAAATTAACCTCTCCTACTATTTTAATTTGCAGGGTAGGGTATTTTGTCCCAGTGATGAAGGAAATCACTAACACAATGACACTGTATGCTTTTTATTCTTGATGATAACATTCAGTAGTATTTACTTTCTGCATTAGTGTGAAAGAATAATAAAAATATATTGTTCATTTCTTTTAACTTTCTTCAAAATTATAAAATAATACATTAGGAAGTATAAGTGACTGGTTGAAAAATATACCTTTGGAGTAAATAGAAGGAATTAAATAGTGGAGTAAATAGAAGGAAATTAAACTGAAGTCTTCAGTGAAACACTTATGGCCATAGTCTATATAGTTCATAGTATTTGTTAAGTTCATATGTTTCTCCATTAGTCATGTTATTATGATTAATAAGTTCAGGATTTTAATATATCAGTATTAAAATATCTGACAGAAGGGCTATAGTTATAGCTTCAGCTCAATGGTAGGGTTCTGTGTAGCACGTGTAAGGCCCTTTGTTCAAGCCTCAGCACTCAAAAATCAAAAACGGGATATCTGACCAAAGAATTTTATTTAGAAGTATGTTTGTGGAAATAGGGTATAGCATTTTTCTTTCTTTATTTTTTTAGTGATTATTCCTTTGATGAGGAAAGGTTAAAAAAAAAAAAAAAAAGTATGGGGAGGAAAATTAAAAAGAAAAAAAAAAGTTCCAAATTGGAAATGATTATTTACTATACTGTTTTTACGTTACCAAAGACCTGTCTTCTGTATGTCCTGTGTGTGATTTGTGAATTCTAGTTTTGCAAAAGTAAGTGGAAGAGAGAGTGTAAGAATGCAACTGTTTGATGGTGTTCCCTCGTTGTATTTTTTTCCTAGAGCCCTTCAGAGAAGACATGGCTCCCAGAGAAGATACAAAGAGTACAAATCGAGTGCTGAGGATAAGCCAGCTGGATGCACTTGAACTAAACAAGGCTCTGGAGCAGCTAGTTTGGTCCCAGTTTGCTCAATGCTTTCATGGGTTTAAACCAGGGCTGTTAGCTCGCTTTGAGCCCGAAGTAAAAGCATTCTTATGGCTTTTCTTGTGGCGATTCACCATCTACTCCAAAAATGCCACTGTGGGACAATCAGTTTTGAATATTCAGTACAGAAATGATTTTTCCCCAAATGCAAGTTATCTTCCACCAAGTAAAAATCAGAAACTCTGGTATGCTGCCTGTACCATTGGTGGGAGGTGGCTAGAAGAAAGATGCTATGATTTGTTTCGAAGTCATCATTTAGCATCATTTGGGAAAGTCAAGCAGTGTGTGAATTTTGTCTTTGGACTTTTGAAATTAGGTGAGTTAGCTAATTTTTTGGTTTTCCTTCAAAAGGGAAAGTTTGCAACATTAACAGAACGTTTTCTCGGCATTCATTCTGTATTTTGCAAGCCCCAAAACATCCGTGAAGTTGGCTTTGAGTATATGAACAGGGAACTCCTCTGGCATGGTTTCGCCGAGTTTCTGATTTTTCTCTTGCCACTTATCAATACCCAGAAATTGAAAGCCAAATTATCTTCATGGTGTATCCCCCTAACTGGTGCCCCAAATAATGACAGTACACTAGGCACTAGTGGCAAAGAATGTTCTTTGTGTGGAGAGTGGCCCACCATGCCTCACACCATAGGATGTGAACACATCTTCTGCTATTACTGTGTGAAGAGCAGTTTCTTATTTGACATGTACTTTACTTGTCCCAAGTGTGGCACAGAAGTGCACAGTGTGCAGCCACTGAAATCAGGAACTGAGATGTCAGAAGTGAATGCTCTTTAGAAACTAAAATTTGTTTCCTTGAGGAAAATGTGGTTTCACATCTGCAATATTAGCCATTTGGATATTTAGACATCTTCAGCCACTATCTTCAGTTTCTTTCTAGGCACAACTAAATTCTAATCAGTGGTAATGGTGATGCTAAACAGATTATGCTAATGTTGATCTTGTAAAACTTACTGGATTTGATTTTTAATGTCAAGAATGATGGTGTTTTTTGTCAGATGACTATTAAGAATGTTCCTTCATTTTGCTACTTCATAGAGTTTGAACTCTAAAAATAAAGTATTTTGGAGACTGAAGCATGACTGTGGCTTATTTTCAGAGATGACATAGCATAGTATCATAATCTGACAATGGTTGTGTTTTAAACCGTAAGATTTAGTGCCTCTTGTAATTTTAAGCTTTTCTTTGAAGCCAGTTTTCAAGAGGTACAGTTCCTAGCTGTCAGTCTCCTTCACTGTTGACTTCTGATTTTAGAAAGTAAAAGTTACTTAAGACAGCTTAGAAATGAGACCCAAAGACCAAGGAGATCAATGGGTATGGAGCACAGTTTACTGTGTCTCCTTCTCTAGTCTTTGATTTAGAGCTTATGTTCTCAGACAGCATATTAGTAATTTTATGAAACACGAGTAGTCTTTCACATACAGGAATATGTGTCAAGATACACACACCTTTTCTCTTGCAGTTTTCACAGTTGGCAACAAGTCATTCCTTGGAGAAACTGGGTAGCATATCATTGTATATAATGTCTAATACTATATTTCCATTTTGTACTTTTTCATAGCGTTCATTTTTTGTTGCTTTTCTTGCTTGTAAGATACCTGATACACCACACACTAATGGCAGGTAATCAATCGATGTATGGCTGACTTTGACATGTCGTGGCTGACTTCGGCTCATTCTAGGACCTGTGCCTCACTGCAGATACTCATTCCTCCTGGCCAACTTACTCTGATAGTCCCAGTGACTTCATTCAATCCCTGCTTCCCTGGACACTACCAGAAGACGCAGGTTCAGTGTTCAGAAATACTGGGTCAGATTTAACCACATAATGAGTTTCTACTTTAACTTCAAGAACCTATCAGTTACGAATGTTTTCCCTTTGGAAAATAAGAACTTTCACACTTTTTTTTTTTTTTTTGCTTCTATTCATGCAAATTATTCTTCATGCCCATTCTTTGTTGTGTATTTAAAATATTCTGTGGGCCTCAGTGAGCATATCTGAATTACTAAGGTATCAATCAGCTACACAAGGCATGTCTTTTTTCATGGCTCATAATATGATTCATACCTCCCCTCCCTTAAGATTGCATTTGTTCACCTATAAAATGGATATTCAATAATGTCTACCTCTTAGATTTATAAAAAGAATTAAGTCGTTCTTTAAAAAGTTATTTTTGTACCTCTACAGACATTCTTCTATGGTGCATTCATGAATAAAGCAAAACCCCTGATCTCATGGAGTTTATATTCATGGACAGATAGTAGACAACAAACACATATATAAAGTGATTTCAGATGTTAGATGTACTTTGAGGAGTAAAACAGGTTAAGGAAACAGTGACAAGCAATGCAGTATTGAATTGAATGTGAAATTTCAGAAGTCTTGAATCGGGGGAAAGCCAAGCAGAGAAAAATACCAAGATAAAGAAATGGCAGGTACCCAGTGTCTGAGAAGAGAATCCTATTACCTGGTCAGATAACAGGAGGAAATCACCATAAACAAGAGAAAATAAAATGGGAAATGAGGGAGTGAGTCAAAGGACTATTGATGAGTGGAGATAGGGCATTACTCCAAGTATTAGGAACCATAGGAAAATTTTAATCGAAGAAGATCACACTTACATTTTGGATGATTTGTGGGAAGTATTTAATGCAAGAAAAAGGCTATTGAAATAGAATACTATGAGTCACAATTATTCTTCCCGTTAGGTTTCATCAACAGTGTCAGCCTTAAGAAATCTCTGTAAATAGACATGACCAAAGCTCTACTCACTGGACAGTATCTTGAGTGCCCATTTAGAAAATGCTTTAATTTGAGTAAGATTCTAATGAACATTCAACGCCAGATTAAAAATAATAGGAAGGAGGAGAAAACTTTTTTAAAACCATGTTTATAATTATAATCAGTAATGGGCAACTTAGTATCTTAAAAAAGTTCATACCATACTAACACAGGAATGCTCACTTTGAACAGTAATTGTGACTTAAAAAATGACTGGATCATCAATAAAGGTACCTTATGTTTTGTATAATTTGGTTAATAAGGCAGGGAGATTGGTCCTGCTGTATTTGAAAAAGCTTTCAAATTAATAGCAGCACTTAGAGGCAAAATTTGATTTATTTGAAACATTCTCTTTTAACCAAAAGCTGTTATTCCTACTAGTACTCAATATATGTTACTGTATTAAGAAAAGTTATTTTCAGTGACACAATTCCAAGCATTCTTTTTAGACAAACCAATTGACCAAGTTGTCTATAGAAGGTGATCTTTGATTCTCTGAATCTAATTCTATTGTGTAATGTGTTTGTATAAAACCAGTATGTTTTTTATATTTATAACCACAAATAAATGAACCGAATTTTGAAATGAACCGAATTTTTGAAATGAATTTTGTCTTTTTCTTTCTGCTTTAAAGCATGTGTAAATTATGAAACAAGATGGGATTTGCCTTCATGTTTCCAAATAGCCCCGTTGCACACAAAAAGGTGAAAAGACTTTTAATTTTTTTGTAATTAAAAATGAAAACTAAACATCATTTTTTGCAGTACTTCAATGAATTCTGAATGGAGTTATTCTGGCAACTGTAAGAAATCAAACCAGGTTAAACCAAGTCATTACTGAGGTAAAAGATACAAAAGTATGGCATTCTGTAAGTAATCTACTTTGCTTTCAACTAATGGTAGAGTAACTCGTGTCTTTACCAAACACTACAACCAATAAACCAAAAATCTAGTTAGGTGAAACTGATTCTCAAAATCAAGTTGATGTAGACATGCTTATACCCACTGAATCTGAAGAATCAGTCCAATGAAAAGATTGTCAATATAGTACTATTCACCATTTTTAAAAACATATGAAACAATATCAATACAATAATATAGCTATGTAACTGACTGAAAAGTTACATAGATGTAGAGGACTTTATGCAAAAATATTTATGAATAACTTTAAAGTGCTTATAAATTAAAGTGAAAGAATAGAAGTACTAAAGTAAATAACAGTCTCAAAAATGAGGTAAACAGAAACATATGTCTCATAATGATAAATACTTCTCATAGTTCAGTTTTGATTTCCTTTATACTATTTTGTTTCCTAGATTTTCTGTAAGGACTATTTTATTTTCCAGGTCTACAATTTTAATACATTATTTCTTTAAAATCTCATAATCAATTTTTCAGTTCAACTGAAAAGTAAAACATCTACACAGCTGGTCAATAAATTTTGAATTTGTGAGAGTGAAAAAGACTAAATTGCTATAGTCCCAATTTTTGCATGAAAATAAAATGTGACTTTATAGCCAACCATAGGTTGAACAAATCTGCATTGTTTCGTGCATCTTAAATTGCATATTAAATATCAGAGTCTATACAGAAAAACTGCATGCAACCTTTGGTGTTTTGAAATAGGCTTTTGCCATTTAGTTCAGGCTGAGCTTGTACCCTCCTGTGTACCCCATGCTGGCCAGGAACTTGAGATCTTTCAAAGTGCTGGGATTATAGGTATTTTAACAGGCTAAATGTACATTTTTTAAAAATCACTTAAAAGTATATAGACCAAAAGAAGAAGTTTCTACTCCTTTTTCCAAAAGTACTTAAGGTATTTGTAAATAAATATGAATTTCTTTTTAAATTTACTTTAAAATATCTAGAACTAATATACCAGATAAGAACACCTGACATGATTATTATTATCTAAGCCTGTTCAAGATTTATTGACTACCTGTGTAGATGTTTGAGTTGAACTGAAAAATTGATCATGAGATCTTAAAGAATTTATGTATTTAAAATTGAAGATCTGGGAAAAAAAATAGTCCTTACAGAAAATCTGGGGAACAAAATAGTCTAAAGAAAGTCAGAAGGCAATCATTGTTAGTGAGATATATGTGTTCCTGTTTACCCCATTTTTGAGACTATTTACTTTAGTATCCTATTTCTTTCATTCTAATTTATAAGCACTTTAAAGTTATTTTCCCAGCTAAGATGTAAACACAAAAATGCTGGCATTCAGAGGTAATATTGTGCTGTTTACAATAATGCAAGCATAAAGTTCAACTGAGACTTTCATCTAAATAGTCAGAATTCTGGGTTAATGGATATTATGATTTAGGTGTAAAATGATCCTAGCAGTCTGTGTTCAGAGATGGAACTTTTGAAAGGTGGTTGGGTCATGGAGGCACTAAAGTAGATTATTCTCTTGTGAATTCTCTTGTGAACATGCATAGTTCTATGTTGTATAGAAGCTGGGACCTGATTTAAAAAGACATCTTCCCGGAGGTGCGACCTGGAAGAGTGTATTGTTGTTCCTAGCTCCTTTCTCTGTGCATCTTGGCTGCCATAGATTGAATAGCTTTTTTCTGCCATATCCTTCCATCATGCCATTTCTGCCTTGAGCCAGCTGACTATGAACTGAATCTTCTGACACCATTAGCCAAAATAAACTTGAGCAACAGGAAAGTCACTAATACACTGGAGCCAGAGGCTTTCTTCTTTTTAGATATTCAGGATCATTCCCTGGAAAGCATGTCTTGCTAAGCACTCAGAAAATTTCACCCTCTCCTGACCACTTCAGTTCTTTCAATTCAATATGAATTTGTAAGACAGCCTTGTAATAATAATAATCTGAGTTGTTTTCAGATAATAAAATTGATTACTTAAATAAAATGATTTAGTGCCAGGTCAAATATAAAAGGAAAATAAGTTTTTCGAGCATGAAGGCCCATCCAATATTATACATGTTTCTTTTTAGTGTCCTTCCTCAGATCTCATAGATTCTCCAGTTTCTCTGCGTAAGGCATTCATACTGTCAGCTTGATGAGGACAGAGATTGTATTTCGCATTTTTGTGATACTGCAACCAAAAACTGACTCAGTATAGATGTTTGGTAAATATTTGAAGAAGGTGGAGCACTGATGGATCTGATCATCAAACTCCTCACAAATACTGAACAGAGAAGTTTGGTGGTGTGTATTGTAGAGGGGTGTTTCCCATATGTTTGCTATAAAGATGCAGAGAGGCAAGCACCCCAGTTTGTCTTTGTAATATGTCTTAGGAGTGCCGTTGTTAATTTAAAATGTTC